CTTCAGGTATCATCGTTTTGGAAAGGAAGAGCTCGGGTTGATCGCAGTGCACACACCTATGATTTCCGCAATGAATGATTTGGGGATAAACTATGATAAACGATTTGATTGACTATGATTTGATTGTTTGAATTAAATGGTATCAATGTTTTAGTTATATTGAAAATGAAATTTTTACCGCTGATTTTTGGGACGTTACAACTTTACTAAGTTATGGATTTTATTGCAATAAATAACATGATCGACTTCACGACTTGAGAGTCGTTATTTGCGAAATATGGTATAACATTAATCATGTGAGTTATAAATATTATTAGAATTGTTGGTTTCACATTGGTTGAAACCTGGAAAATATTTTCAAAACAACCGTTATGTTGTCCAAATTTCATCACGGTAGATAATAAAATTTGGATATATGTTTAGTCTTATGATTCTCAAATGTGACATCCCCATTTTCATGGCCACAAAGGACCGATTTTGTTTATGCTTTATAAAAATCAGAGTACTTCTTTTAATAAAAATGTTGTGGAATTTGTTCCCAGTAAAACATGATAAATACGTTATCAAGGAATTTCCGAAGAAAAGTATTTTTATTCATTTTAAAACATTTAGGATGTCATCGTTAATACAGAAACACAAGCATAAACAAAACTTACATTCATTATCACTAGTGATTTATATCTCCTTAATCTCTCAGTATAATGTGACTTCATATCAACACATGTGATATAAATAAACAGAATGAGTCAGGTTGGGAAACATGGTGAGTACATAGGGTTTTCAACCCAGAATAATATAATTATTATGTTTAATTATCAAACAGTTAACCCAATTACCCATCCCCATTATGTTTTTTACTCTTAAGGATCTACCCTAAGAATCAGTTATTTCTTATTCATTCATTCCTAAGGATTATCCTAAGGAATGGGTACGAAGTCCATCGTTGTCAATGACACAACTGTCAAACACAGATGTTAGTTATATCACTTAGGCGCAGCTGCTAGAATTGTGACATTCTCTACGAGACGCAGTTGCTGGGATTGTCCTTCGGGCACAACTGATAGGGTTATCTCGTTTATTGACGGTATCGTTTTCGAGAGTCCACTCGCAATACATGTCAATGGATTTTTAGAGTACACCGGTGAACACATCGTTCACAACACCTATAGGTTGCAAGCATGCTAGTGTTCCAATGGACTGTCTAGAATAGTCTGTGGTTGTCATCCATACTCTGCTAGATGACGGGACCAACATTTGGGAACAAGACTTCTCACATCGTCCACTTCTCACCCTTACCTCATGGTCTATATCACCTCTCAACTCATCATCCAACTCATATTTCATCTACCCATGTTTTACTGGGAACAAATTCTGCAACATTTTTATTAAAAGAGATACTCTGATTTTTATAAAGCATAAACAAAATCGGTATTTTGTGGCCGTGAAAATGGGGATTTCACATCAAATACCAAAAAACTTAAATCAAAATCATTCCTAGACACCAAAGAATTATAAGTATTCAAGAGTCCTGTATCAGAAAGTTTAGGACTAGGGTGCCTAGACTCATTGTTAGGATCCATCACACCCACATGACGTTCTGTATGAGCTACGTTTATTCTAAAATCTTTATGAGTTATGATCATTTCTTAAGTTGTATGGGCTATGTTTGTCACAATACTAAGACCGTACATCTTAGTGGAAAGTGTATCGACCAAAATTTCCAAATAAAATTTTCATTTTTAATTAATCAAAACATTACCATAAAATATAAAATCTCAATGACAATTGTTTTCAAAATCCATTACATCAACATTTTATTTCAAATATCAGAGTGTCCCCATATAAAATGCCAAAGAGTGCATGCCGCGCCATCAAACCTTGCCCTTGCCCTTAGGCTTTGAAGTACCTGAAACAATCAACAAACTGTAAGCTAATGCTTTGTGAGTTTCCCAAAGCATACCTCACACAATCCACATAATCATATAATCCATATTAGCTATATTAGCTACACAAACCACATAAGCTATGGATACAAACATATAAGGATGCCATGGAAACCCTCCAAGGTCTTACACTAGGTGCCGCTGGAACCCCCACATGGTCTTAGCCCACTGCCATGGGAACCCCCACATGGTCTTAATTACTTGCCATGGGAACCCCCACATGGTCTCAAATACCTGCCATGGGAACCCCCACATGGTCTTCGCTAACTAAAGAATTATCATAAAAACCAACCATATGGTCATGCTAGGATGCCATGGAAACCCTCCAAGGTTTTACACCAATTGCCATGGGAACCCCCGCATGGTCTTAATCTACTATCACGGGAACCCCCGGGGTCTTCCATACAAATGTCAGACCAACATAACACATAATCATCTAACAATCCACATATCCTATAATGGGCCGACCTTGGTGCCTTAGACCCATTGGTATGGTGAGAAGACTCACTATCTGTCTGTTGAAACCGAAAGCTGCTCTCCTAACAGTCAGAAACCACTCGTGCTGAACAACAATACCATTATCCCAAAATTAGGGTTGAATATAATCTAATTAAAGAACCCAAGTACCCAAGCCCAAGTCCTTTCATAATACCCCAAGAGTCTTCCATTGCTAATGAGCCCAAAGTTCATATCCAAAACTATTAATGGGCCTCATGGACCAATAAGGCCCAACCATAACAACCATGACCCAAAACAATAAATTGGACCACTAGCTCAAATCATGACCAAGCCCAATAACTGATTAAGATCCAAAGGGATTACAAGCCCAAAACAGGCCCAAACCCATCTGAGTGCGTACGCCTTGCGTACTACTCCTGTATGCTCAACGTACTGAGTCCTTGAGTTGTACGCTCTGCGTACGCTATATTCCGCCCAACGTACAAGCATATTAAGCATCTACTTCCATTAAGTGCTTAATACTTGATGTTATCACATCCAAAATCGGGTATGAGTTCATTAATATGTTCTAGGGCATAAAGTTGGCAACTTTATGCCCTTGCATGCCATATGGGATTTCAAAACTTCATTCTTCACATTATAGATCCCTGGTTAATACCAAAAAATTAAGCCATATAATAGTTAATACCATAAATTAAGTAATAGAATAGTTAATTAATATCATGACACGACTGAACGATGTTTATTAACTTACATAAAACAAGTTATTTATATAAACTCTTTTGTTTCTGTGCGAAAACACAATATTTATGTGGGGAGGAGTTTGCCCTACTGGTTAAGTGTTGGTTTATAAATTAAGAAAGATAACACTTAATTAATACTACGACACAAATTTACAAAGTTTATAAAATCGAAACTTATGAGTTTTATATATGAACTATACGAATGCTTGTACAAGGTTTAAAGGGTAAACCTGGCTATTTTATGTTTTCACAAATAGTGACATGACTTTCTTTTATATAAATTGATATTCAAAATACTTATATAAAATATTTTGGTTATGAGAACCGTAAAAATTTGTTATAAGTTTGATTTACTTATATATTTAGTAAATGGTGTATTCATGGATTTGAGCAAACGATATTTTTAAATGAGTACAAATACACTTTCAAAACTCATTTATTTTTATACTTTTGATAGAAAGATACACATTTATAAAAGCCGATTAACCAGATAAATTTTACAAAACACTTTGATTATAAAAATACTTTATGTCAAAACCTGTAGAACTTACCAACCATTTTGTTGACGTATTTTAAATGCATGTATTCTCAGGTTATTTAGTAGGTCGTAAGTGTTCGCTCAGAAGACCCTCCGTTATCTTTATTACACATTTGTAAACACCGGATTGTTAAGCGTGTGTCTCGATTTAGCAATGGTCTTGTCAATGTAATTTCTATTTCATTAATAATAGAAGATTATATTTGTACCGTTCACTGTATGTTCGATAACCATGATCACCGATTTACGTTGCACACCTTGACGTTTCCGTCGACGGCCGGGGGTGTGACACACGCCAACAAACCTGGACGGTTGGGTTGAGGCTTCGTGCCAACAAAACCTAAGCGGTTTGGTTGAGGTGATACTGCTATGCTGTAAACCAACAAAACCAATATGGTTGGTTTGAGGTCAAGGACCAACAAACCCTGTATGCATGTTTGTACTATATTTATATTTGTTTGTAATGTGATGTATTTTGAGAAACTCACTAAGTTTGGCTTACAATTTTGGATTTCACTGTTTCAAGTACTTCTGATGAGCGGAGAAAAATATAGACGTGATTATACACCTCATCCCGTTGTTATGTTGATGAATACTTTGATTTGATATTTGGCTTATTATGATTTGTAAACAATGTTTCGGTACTTTGTATTTGTGAAATTATGTTTTTAAAATGAAAATGTTTATTCTCGTTTTTGGGATGTTACATTGGCTTCATAATCCAATTTTAAATTTTGTGATGTAATTTTTTCATTTTTGCTCTAGCTCTCTATTAGAGCTTAGTGTGATGCAATTTAACCATTCTAAAAAAAGTTGAATAATCCGGTGTCTATGATTGAGTGAGTATTTAATGAAATGTGTATGATAACAATGAAATAGAAGAGCCGAATGATTATTTAATTATATAAAAAAAGTGATGATTATGATTAAATATATGTTTTTTGTTAACAAGTATTTAGTGAATGATGTGAAAATAATATTTGTTGAACTGTTAATTGGATTATAAATGCTTTAATTTTAATATGATAACATGAGTGGCGATGAAATAAAATAATTACAAAAATATAGCTATATAAATTATAACCAATAACTTTACATAAAATACGAAAAAGAACAATAAAAGTGTAGCAATCATTACATGTTATTGTCACAAATGACAACGAATCAATTCGGAACAAAATGGCAAATCTAAAAAGAAAGTAGTATAAAATGTAAACAAATAAAAGAACAGGGGCCTGCTATGCCTTTTCCCAATTCTTTTACCACTCCCGCTTCTCTCTCTTCTGAAAACACCGAAATTCCCTCTCGTCTAACAAACCCTAAATTCAGACAACAGAGAGACGTGTGAGGTTTCAGTTAGCGTCTCAGATAGCTCAAACCTAAATTTCCCAATAACTTCAGCTCTGCTGGCGATTAATTATCAGCTTCACACTGTAAGTGTTCATGACTCCTTTTTTTTATTCTTTAAAACTGTTTAAGTGCTCTTCAATTTCCAGTTTGGTGTGTGTGTGTGTGTGTAATGGCGACGTGAAGAGATTGAGCTTAGTTATTTCTAGATTTAGTCGAGGATTTTTTATCCTTAAAGATGAAATTCTTCAAATTTTAACTCAATATTGCTGTAATTTCAAGCTCGATTTCTTTGATTTGTTCGCGTTTTTGGTTATTTTGTACTTATTAATGATGTTCGATTTCAAATAAGCCGAATGTTGTAGGCTAGTTGTTTTTTATTAGTCAGCAAAATCGTACGTGTTGACTTTTAGATTATTTGTTGTTTGAGTCGTGGGTTGGTGTGATTACGAACTAATATATTCTATCAGGTATAATCTATTTAAATGGAGAGTCAAGAGATGGCTTTTCATAGTACTGATGGAGTTAATGATATAAATGGGCATACTTCATTTGCTAATGGATTCGAACCCAAACAAGCTAGCATTGGTGTTGAACACAGTGACAGTTTCAATGTTGAGTTTTTAGAAGATCTGGATTCAATGATGGAAGACATTGATAATCGTCTAAGAGTTGCACGAGTGGTGAGTGATTCTGTGATAAAGGGAATGGTTAGTGCTGTTGAACAAGAGGCAGAAGAAAAGATAAAGGCAAAAGACTTAGAGCTTGCAATCTTAAAGAGGTCTCTGCAATTTCATAATTCGAATGGAGAAGAAGATCAAAACGAGTCTTGGTTGTTACAAGGAACCAATGAACAAGAAACTAGTCAGGTTAGTTCTGAAGATGCTTTTGTGAAGGATGATGAATTAAAAGAATCATTGGTTTTCTTAAGAAATTCTGCTACAGATGAGTTTAAGAAGCTTAGGAAGCAGATTGAGGGTGTGAAGGGTTGTAAACTTAAGAGAAATGGATCTTGTCATGAAATAGTAGGGTTGGGTGGGATTTTGAAAGAGGAGAAGTATGAAAATGGTGTGGGTTTGGAAAAAACAGTGGATAATCTTGAAATGGTGATGAACAATGCATGCGGATTGGTGGATAAATTTTCTAAAACTTTACTTAGTAAATGTCAACAAGAGCATGAATTGAAAAGAAAACTTGAAGATATGGTAATGCAGACTTCTATAAGATCAATTTGGGATCAAAATATGGATTTGGCTGAGAAATTTAGTAACATTTCACTTTTAAGAAATGAGTTAGATGCATTGACAAAGTTGCTCCCACATCATGAATCAGGGAATCTGCTCTCTCATGGTTCTTTTGATTTTGATAATACTCATGGAAACTCTTTAAGGAGTCAACTTTCTTCAAGATGGGAGGAAAGTGGAAAGTCAACTGAAGGTTTAGATGTTCCTGATAGTTTTGATGCAGCTCAATTAAGCCACATGAACAAGGAGCAATTAGTGAAGTTTTTCAACAACACAATTTCAAAGATGAAAAGGGAACATGAATCCGAAATTCAGAAGAAGACTGAAGCGTATATCAGTTTAAAGGGGAAATACCTGAGTGAAAGGCGCTCTTTTGTCCTCCCTAAAGAGTTTGAAACATTAAAAAGGAAGATTCCGGAAGTTGTTTCCAAATTGGATGGAATTCTTTCTGAAAGTGATGAGTTTCCTGGAAAGGGTGATAGTGTTGTTAGTATTGACATTCTAAATAAAACACTCAACACCCTTTTAGGAGAAAACAATCATCTTAAAGATGCACTTATTGTTAAAAATGATGAAGTAAAGCATCTTGAATCCCAACTTTCTTCATCTGATACACATTTCCAAAAAATGGTGAAGACCCATGAATCTTTAATAACAGATGCATGTATAGAAGCTTCCATTGTTGAAGATGTCTACAAATGTGTTGTTGGAGGGCTAAATTGTCAATTCCAAGACATGAAAGAAGAATCAGAGGTGGAAATTATCGCAATGCATGATATATATGAGGCTCTATTAGGATCTGGTGCTGAAGATTCTAGTGTTTCTGCAGTTGAAGACACATTTATGGAATATTTATTTATGGAAGAACTATTGCAGACTGTATTCAAAGAATCTTTAACTGATGCTGAGAAAAAGATTGAGACTTTACATGAAGAATATATAAGCATCAACAAAAAGAAGGCAAAGGAAAGGGAGGTTGAAATGATATTGGAAGGTGAAGAGAGAGCAAAATTAGTGGAAGAAAAGGGAAGGGTAGAAAGGGAATTGACAAAAGCAAAAGAGCAATTTGAACTAGCTTTAAACGAGTGTAATAATTTAAGAAAACAAGCAAATTTGCATGAAACATTGATGTTGAAGAAAAACAAAGAGGTCGATGAAATCAATGACAAGTTTTCAAAAGCACAAGAGAAAATTTTATCTCAGAGAATGGAAATAAACTCCCTTAAAGAAAAAGTTGATTTATCAATGAAAGAGATAAAAGCATTGAATGATTACAAAATCATGGTTCTTGATGTTTCTAATGAGAAACAGAGTTTAATGTCATTGATTGAAATGAAAGAGAAAGAACATAGGAAGCAAATGGAAGCCATAGTTGTTCTTGTTGATGAATTATCATCAAAGATTGGTGATTTTGAAAGAAGGGTAACATGGGATATTTCAGATAATAATAAAAGGTATTTAACTTTATCTTTATTGTTCTTTCATATATACAATCTTTGATATAATCAATTTCCTTTTTTTTTTTTTTAATGTTTAGGTTGGAAAAATCAAGATCTGAATTGAGTTCTTTCATCAAGGAAGTTAGTGTACTTAAAAAAACGGGGATTTTATACAAACAGAAGTTTGAAACAAAATGTAATGATCTTCAAATGGCTGAAGATGAGGTAAGTTTTTTTTTTTTTTTTTTTAAATGTTCTTGAAGCAAATAGCAGTTTCTTTTTCTTGCTATTAAATATTACCTTCACAAGATATCTAAGATTTTATTACCTTTATTCATTAGTTTGATATTATAGGGTTATTTTTGGTAAGAATAGTGGTATTGGCAAATAAATTTATTTTATATGGAAATAAACTGATTATTTTCCCTATTAAGATTGATGGAATAAACTCACAAAGGAATGGAATGGAATGAGTGATTGCATTCCATTATCAAATTGATAAACAAATACAAAAAATATTATTTTATAAAAAAAGTAAACTTCAAATCAAATTACAATACACCATTAAACAAGTTACATATAAACATATCCCATGTTTGTTTGAAATGTATTTTATATATATATTTAATATATAGTCAAACAAATTTTCTTTATCACTTCAATTTTTTTTTGCTAAAAAGACTTAACATTAAATAAAACTTTATTAAATTTCAAAAATGAAATAAGTTTAATTTTTTTTTTTGGATTCAGGTTGATCTTTTGGGAGATGAAGTTGAAACACTTTTAGGGCTTCTTGAGAAGATATATATAGCTCTTGATCATTACTCTCCAGTCTTGCAACATTACTCAGGGGTAAAACTGTAATTATTTATTTAAGGATAATATCATTATCATCTGTATAAAAATGTGTTACTGATAAATAGAAGTTTAAAAGGTTAAATGCATATTTATGCATCAAAATTTTACATCCTCCCCAATTTATACAATAAAGTGGCTTTTATAAAAAATAGAAATATGCAATGTTTCATCTTTTTACCAATTTATGCAATAATGTGTTTGTTTAACCCAAATTCAAAGCAATACAACAAAAAAAGAAGCAAATTACAATATTACCCCTCCATTCTAATTCAGGTTATTGAAATCTTGGAGCTGGTTAGAAGAGAATTAAGTGGAGAATCTTTGAAAGCGCATTGAGTAAGGTAGATTCTCTTATAAATTGCTACCCTATTTTTTTTTTTTAAATATGCAAAAAAAAAAAAGTTATTTCTTGCATTTAGCCCTTTAATAAAAATTGAAAACATTCATATTTGATGATACAGGTGCACTTGTTGGGATCATCAGTTTTGAAAAGGACACATGGTCTATTACTATTAGTACTGTGAAAAGTAGTTAAAAGTATGTGAATTTACCTTTTTGCCCATGTTTTTCGTGTCTACATATACAAACACACACGAATACAACACAAACAAACCACCTTTCCGTTTGGGTTTCTTTTTTGGCCTTTATATATATATATATATATATATATATATATATATATATATATATATATATATATATATATATATATATATATATATATATATAGTTCTTTACCCAAAATGGTATGTGAATTTACCTTTTTGCCCATGTTTTTTTTTTTTTTTGCTTTATTCTTTTGGGTTTATGTCTTCTTGTATATATATAGTACAATAGCTTTTTAATGATCGAATTTGACATTGTTCAAATCCGTTTTAAGTTTTAATCATTTCATATAATTAAGTTTGTATATTATATGTAAATATATTCTGTAGTTTTAACTTTGCATTTTGTACAATGCATATTTGAGTATTATGTTGTGATTTTTCTTTTAATTTCATTAAATAAGCAATTAAACTTGATAAAAGCTCATACTAATCCAAATAAAGTTATAATAAAAAGTATATTTTTAGTTATTCTAAAGGTGTATTTTAATTAAATTTGTAAGATTTGATAGAAGATAAAATGGGTTATGAAGGTTGCCTTTGCCTTTTGGTAAGAGACAACATTGAATTTTAATGGATAAACCTTTTTATCTATTGTTTTAATTCGTTTCTTTTTACAAAAAAAAAAAAAGAAAAAAAAAAGTAAAAGCGTTGGGCTTATTGGGTCTAATCCAATATTCGGAAGGTTATCAAAAGTCAATAGTTCACACTATATATCAAATACGTAAAATCCTTGGGCTTACTAGGTTTAATAAATAAATATTACCAACTATTTGGTTGGCATAATATTATTTATGTTTTATGTTTTATTCAACCATACATCAACATATCTTCGTATCTTTCTACTACTGGCTTCCCTTTGACTTGACAATCATGATACATGATTCCACTTTGATGTAAGATGTATAAATGAGTTGTTTGGAAGTACCATGCATTTTGGCTTATATTTTGGTGAATGCAAACGATTTTCATCCAAAAATGCATCTACACCCTTCATATATTTGTGAAAATCACATTTTTAACGAGATTTTATGTATAAATATTGAACTCAAATTGAGATTTCGATGGCTTTTTTTCTTGATCTACCTTACCCACCACATTTCCAAGTATGACATGATTCTTTATACAAAAATTACTAACATTTTATCAAAATAACAAACTTTTTTTTTATTGAAATAACACTTAATGGGAAAAAAAGAAAAACATTTGGTCTCTCACCTCCCAACTCCTAAATGGATAAAAACAAAAAAAAGCAACAACAACAGACCCCAAAAATTCCATTATAATGGGATATGAGGAGGTATGAGTCGATAGTCGGGTCTTCCAGGATGGAAGATCGATTGTGTCACTAAGATGACCTTCGACATGTGCACAACAAAAACATGTAGAAAGGGAAAACAAAGGAAAACTAAGTCGTAATGTACAATAAGACATAAACATTAGTATTTTTTAAAATGACATATGGATCTGAGATCCTGCAAAAAAGGAAACTCCAACGATAAAGAGCAATGCAACAATACATGAACAATCAGATAAGTAACATAAGTGTAGGAAACCAGATAAGTAACATAAGTGTAGGAAATCATCATCATCAACAACAAATAAAGATAAAAGACAAAGACATGTAAGGTGGAGAGACTATCAATCAGCACTAATGCTTTATCTCCAAGCTACTGAGGTCATGTCCTTAGTAAAAGCAAGCTCATCCATGTCAAACCTCAATTTATCCTCCTATTTCCTTCTAGGACGTCATTTCTTCCTCTTACACTCAATTCTATTTAACTTTGCCCTATTTGATTCGGACCTCTTCTAGAATGATCTTGAAAACATAAATATATAATCAATAATTATTTTGTATTACAATATGAAACTATAATTATCTGTAGACCCAATGCAAGGTATTAAATGTAAATCATGACAATATATTTTAAGTTATTTAAAGTACATATTTTTACATGTAAAACCATAATACTAGTATCAATATTTTTATATTTGCTAACATACATGCATTAAAAAGTTGATTCGATCATTAATACAATATAAAAGCTAAAACTAGTTAAAATATAATTATTATATAAAAAAATCAAACACACATTGTTATTTAACATAAAAATTTTATAAGTTTACCTTTTGTAGCATAGATCTTGTTGTCTGTCGTTGGATATAGTTTACGATTTGACAACGATAGTTTCTAACGGTTGCGTCAAAACCCTAATTAGGGTTTATCTACGTCAAAGTCTAACGAAGAGCAGAGTGTCATCGATTTGAATAACTCGGAATCGTGGTCTGTACCAATAAATTTGGAATTTTTTCATTTAATAGAGATGTCAGCAGTTGAACAAGAAGACAACTCAAATCAAAACCGAAGAATAACTTGGGAAGGTTGCAGCGTTTTGCTTGATATCAACGATGGTGATCGCCTCGTTTTTTCTCGTCTCACTGCTGGCTCGTAAGTTATTACTCTATCGGTTCCAAACAATCCTACATTTTGATTTTTGATTTTGAACCTGTTATCTTAGTTTAGGAATTCGATATGGATCTTGCTGCTAAATTAACATCAACATTTACATATCTAATACTTGTAGTATATAAATTGGATTATTAAATTTTCTTTACAAGTTAGGAAATTTTCGTAAATTCGCTATTCTTTCTGAATGATGACATCGTTTCAGTTTTGTATAATATGCGTTTTGATGATGATTGCTTTGATTGAAGAGTAGCATTTTATACGTGCGATTTTGTTTAAGATAGTGAAGATTGGGGATCAGATTTGACCACTCTTTGTGAATGGAGAGTTGCTTCAGCTTTTTCTATGTGCTTTTTGATGATAGAATTGATGATTCTTGTAGGATTGTGAAAATTGGGAATAAGAATTACCCTCTTCGGCCATTGATTGGGTGTCCATTTGGTTCTTTATTTCAAGTAGAGAATGGAGCAAATGGTCCTTCATTGGCCTGTATTACTTCAACTGCAGAAGGTTTGTTTACTTTCTTTTGTTTATATTTATTCATTGTTTACTTTTTTCCATCACAATAAGCATGAAACTTGATATATTCTAACCAATTACATTGATTTTCCCTTTTTTTCTTTTCTTTTCTATCAGATAATAATGCTGAAGACAAGAAAGAATGTGACCTAAAAGAAGAGTCAAGAGACAATCGTGCATTGATCGATAATAATACAGCCCAAACACTTACTGGTGAAGATATAGAAGGAATGCGAAGGTTAGAACCTGTTCTCTCACTTTCAAGTCCTTATAAAATGATTCTTTTGCCCTTGTCTCCTTCCATTTCCTTCAACATCTCAATCTTTTGGAAAAACCCAATCGATGAAACGCTTCACCAAGTACCATTCATTTTAGGGACAAAAAAAGGGAAAAAAAATATGAAACTCGTCGATCATATCCATAAAAAGTGATAAACTAAAGGGATGAATTTTGTAAATTGCTTTCTTTTATTGATAAATATGACTTATATATAGCTTTAATCCAGACAGGGTGCAAGTGGGAATGCTATAGTTGAAGCTCTTATTGCCAACAGTGCAACATTTGAGAATAAAACGTCTTTTTCACAAGTGAGTGTTGTGAAACTATGCTTACATGTGTAGAGTGCATACTGAAATTTTACGATTTTACCCTCTGCAGGAAAAATACAGGCTTAAGAAACAAAAAAAGTATGCTCCTAAAGTACTCTTGAGACGCCCCTTTGCACGAAGGTAATTGAAAATAAAACTATAATACACAAAGTCAAAAATATATGAAAGTACTTTGCATATAACCCTAATTCCCTAAATCATATTATTTTCTTGAAAATTGTTTGAGGTTCTGATTTCTTTATCTTCCCATGTTGACTTTTTTCTTATCTTATTTCTTTCAGTATATGTGACACTTACTTCAAAAAGTATCCAGCAAGAATCGGGTAAATAATTATAATATCATCTTTCTTTCGTCAGTGACTTAATTAAATAATCATCAATCTCTTGTTAATATTATTTGGAATCGATTAATCAATTATTATGCATATCTGAATGAATCTCAGGTTCTTGAGAGTTGACACATTATCTCTTCTTCTCTCATTTGCTAATGTTTCTGCACACTCTGATGTTCTTGTTGTGGATATGATTGGTGGTTTAATTACTGGTGCTGTTGCAGAGCGTTTAGGAGGTATGATTTTATGTTACTTTATAAATTTATAAATTATAACTATTATTATTCTTTTTTATTTCCAACTTTTGTTATAATTTACTTTAAATAACACGTGCTTAATTAAAAGGGAGAAAAGTGTTGTAGAATTTTTGATTTAATGGACTTAATGGGAAACATGACTTAATCTGGTAAGCTATAAGCTATATAAAGTATACAAGTGTTTTCTTTTTGATTTAATGCAGAAAGAAAATGACCCATTTACCCTTATTCCTATTTTTTATGCTACTAAACTTTTTTGAAGATAAATAATGTTTGTTTTGGTTGTTTAAACTTTAAATAATGTTGTGGATTTAATAGGTACTGGTTATGTGTGCAATACTTATCGTGGAGATTCTCCATATTCCATTGAGATTGTCAGAATATTCAACTTCAATGATGAAATTAACAAAAGGTACATCACATCACCTTCCAATTCCAATTCCATCAAATCAATAATATGTGAACAAGTCACTCAATGTTTTGTAAGATGTTTTTGGAAAGAATGGAATTTATCAAAAGGAAATTGGAATTTTCAAATTCATCAAACATAGACTTTGAAGTATTCCAATGGAATTCAATTCTGTCCACACCATGGAATGGAATCCCGAATTCCAATTCCGACAATCCAACCCCACAAATGACAAATCAAACACACTCTTTTTGATTTTCGATGGAGAGGTTTATTATATTGAAAAGCATATAAAAAGTAATCAATCTTTGTTGTTTTTTTTTGGTTATAGGATTGTGAGGTTGTCCCTTGATGAACTTTCTGATAATGGAGATTTGAAAGAAGATGAAGTGATGCTTCAATCTGCAAATGATAGTAATGCTGATAATCCATCATCCAATGTTGTG